TGTGGTGCTGAGGATTGAACCCAGGGCCTCGAAACATGCTAGTGGAGCACTTTACCGATGAGCCCCAGCCCCAGCCCCAGACTATGTATCTTTTATTCTACTTTATTTAATTTTTGTGGCCCTGGGGATTGAAACCAGGAGTACTCTAACACTGAGCTACATCCCCTGCTCTTTTTATTTTTGTCTTGAGACAAGGTCTTGCTAAGGTGCTCAGGCTGCCCTTGAACTTGTGATCCTCCTTCCGCAGCCTCCTGGGGGATGACTGGCAGCAGTCTTGTCTTTTCATTGCCACTGATTCCCTGAGAACAGAGGGTGGTGAGCTCCTCCCACGCCCCAGCTTCCAATAATTGAACAAAACAACGTGTCACACTCTACCGACTCTTCTGCTCATCTCATCTGTATGATCTCTGTTTGATCGACTCTGTGTCGCTATGATCAAAAGACCCGAGAAGAACAATTCTGGAGGAGGAAAAGTGGACTCTGGCTCATGGTTTCTGAGTTTCCATTCACGGCTGACTGACTCCAGGGTGCTGGGCCCCAGGTGAAGCAGAGCATCATGGGGGAAGGGCCCCATGGAGGAAGGAGCTCAGGGCCCAGCAGCCAGGAAGAGAGGGGAGCTGTGCTCACCAGGGACAAAACACAAACCCCAAGGTCACGCCCCAGAGACCTGGTTCCTCTAGTCCCCAAAGTCATGCCCCAGGGACCTGGTTCCTCTAGTCCCCTAAGTCATGCCCCAGGGACCTGGTTCCTCTAGTCCCCTAAGTCATGCCCCAGGGACCTGGTTCCACTGGTCATGCCCCAGGGACCTTTTCCTCTGTTCACACTCTGTCTGCCCACAGTCATCACCGGTGGATCCATATCAGTGGATTAATCCACGCAGGCGGCCACAGCTCTCTCCAGCCAGTCACTTCACCTCTGCACAGCCCTGCGTTCTCTCACACGTCAGCTTTTGGGGGACACCTCAGACCTAACCCTGAAGATGTCATGGAATCTGATGACCAACCCCGGGGTCTTCATTTTAAGGGCGCGACAGCGAGTCCGAGGGGGTGAGATCATTCGGTCGACGCTGCACAGCTCCCAGGTGGAGCCGAGGCAGGCGTTGTTCTTGCCCCAGAAACTCTACTTTTACATTTTTTTAAAAAAAATCGTTTTACTTCTATTTTTCAGTTTCTGAAGAAAAAAAAAATTGGCACTCAGTGTGATAAATCCAGTCTTTTTTGTTATCTAACATTTGATCAAGTTTGACATTTAAAAAAATATAAGATGACTCAATGTGGGTACTTTAAGACTTCCTTTTTTAGAACAAAACATTTCTCTTTGGAGAGAAAATGGCCCACACATATGTCCACATGCTCATATGTCTCCTAATGAGACACTTCTTTGTTATTTTAGTGTCTGGCATGACTGACATCTTTGATTATAACTGCCTCTCCCCAGAGAGGACTGAATGATTATAGTTGGAGTCATATAAACTTCACCACCGAGAAACGAAATGAAGCTTCATTCCACTAAAAAACACATAAATTGAGTGCAACTTTATAATTCAGAAACAGAAAAAATTGGCAACCACTTAATCGTGGTTCTTAATCATGGAGGAACATTCTGGAATAGCACCAACAGAAGTAAAATGCAGTCTACCTATATAATTAAAGATTCTCATGGCTGCATTAAACCCATAAGAGGTTAAAACTAATTTTAACAATAATTTAATTTTAATTTATCCACTATATTGAAAAATATCTTTTTTTTCTTTTGTGACACTGGGAATTGAACCCAGGGGCGCTCTGCCCCTGAGCCACATCCCCAGCCCTTTTTAGTTTTTATTTTGAGGCAGGGTCTTGCTAAGTTGCTGAGGCTGGCCTTGAACTTGCGACCCTCCTGCCTTAGTCTCCAGAGTCACTAGGACTACCCATGTGTGTCTCTGGGCCTGGCTAAAGTGTTGTTTAAATACGTCATCAGTACAAGGACATGAAGGAGGTATCTTGAAAAATTTTTGGACTAAGTGTTTGAAATCCAGTGTGTCACAGCTCAGGGGGCTGGCGAGAGCCACATCTTGAGCGCTCAGCAGCTGCATGTGGCTCATGGCTGCCACACTGGGCTGCACAGAACGGCACCAGTTATGCTAAATGAGCTCACATGCCTGATGGAACCCTCACTCCCCGCCAAGAGAGCTGTCTGGTTCCACAACCCGAAAAATTTTCATCCTAAGCCATTTAGAGCCTCTGAGGGTGAGGAAAGTTCAATACTAAGTGGTTGGGGTGTAAATATTAACCGAACTGCACATGGAAGGCTGTGGACTTCCCACGTACGACTTGGTGCCCTTTCCCCTTGCTGAACACAAGTGGGTAATCCAAGCTCAGAGGAAGAAACGGCGTGGCCAGGCGTGGGTAAGTCACTTCACGTCTCTGGATTTTACTTACGTCTCTGGGTTTTACCACCGTCCTGGCTTCCAACATATTGATTATTTTGGCCTGTTTTGTTCCTTCCCAGAGTTGCACAGGAAGGCACCGTCTGGGTAGCTGGTTTCTGTTTCTTGACATGTTTGTGAGGTTTAGCCAGGCCTTGTCCACAGGGCAGAGCATTCATTGGGTAGGGTGACATTCTGTTGTGCGATGCGTTCACTCATTCGTTCTATTGTTCATGGATATCCAGACAACTTCCAGTTATTTATTTTTATTTTTTTAGATGGACACAATACCTTTACTTATTTTTACGTGGTGCTGAGGATTGAACCAGTGCCTCACACATACTAGGCAAGCTCTCGGCCACTGAGCCACAAGCCCAGCTTCAACTTCCAGTTCTTGGTTGTTGCAAAACAGTCTGGGAAGGACAGACTGCGTCGAGGGCCTTCTGTGCGTGTCTTTGGTGCTCACG